TCAACTCTTTGCAGTTGCAACAACTGTGCTTGGAATCAATTTTCAGAGTAGTGACCGTTTCCAATAAGAATCGCTCTTCCACTTTTCGTGGAAAAAGGTGAGCCTCATAAAAGATACTAGTTTTGTGATTGGTAAAAATGCTGAATCTGACCTGCAAAGTCGCAAACTCCCACATTTCCTATCTTACCTAGTTGTATCTGTAGTTAGTTCTTAGCTACCCATTCCTAGATCTCCCGGGTTTCCATCCAACCCTTGAGAATGCACTTCGTTTTGGTCAGAAAACATTGGACTTTCCCATGTACGTGGAAAAGCAAAACAACAGTCTTACGGTAAATATTCCGTTCCTAAAATACACCACGCACTCCTCCCTCCCTGGAGACGCATTCAGAAGAGTATTTCTTTTCCCTATGGGATGTGATAGGGAACCATCTTGATTGTAATCGAGGACTCCTGCAAGCCTGATGTTAGATCTACGGTCTTTAATCATATTTAATTAACATGCGTATACGTGGAAAAATTCCGAGGAACGGTGCTAGTAAATCTGAAGAAAATAAAGTTTACGTTTTCTCACATACATAGTTATCATTCCCATAGTGCTGTAGTCCTCCGCCGCACCCCTACCATACAGTAAGGATCGCCATACTTTTCACCGCAAAGTCTTGTTCATTCTTTCCGTTGGCCAAATGCCCCCCCCCCCCGCCCCTCCGTTGATCATCGCACAACGGACTGTTGACCTTGAGTTGAAGTCAAATAGAGGAAACTGCACGAAGATGTCTGGAATCGTGGAGAAAGCGGCTTTTGAATTCCTCAAAATTCTTACAAAATTCCCATGTGCTCACGTCGTGATTTTGTGATTATTGATATTATATTTATTATTCTTTTTGTCCTAATGAAGCTCCTCCATCTGTTTCGATGTAATTTGTAATTGTTATCGTAATTGTTATCGTTAAGGAAAGGTCACAAGGCAGCGGCAAGCCTAGCGAGGTGCGCGAGGTAGATGTGTGATGTGAGTAGGCCAAAAGAGTGAATCTTGTACTGAAGTCTCTCACCCTTCGACTGCCTATTGCAAGCAGTATCCTGAGGGCGCTCAGATAACGGAACGTTTCAGAAGACCAGACCACCCTGTGAAGGACGTCGCCCCTATAGCGAACTAGTAGAGAAGGGTTTCAGGGCAAGGTGCAGAAATAGCAAGAAGTATTGGCAAAAGGTGGGCCCCGGTTGACGATCAGGAGTCTCAACGTTCCTGCAATACTGGAGAGGTACAGCCATTAGTGGACGGCGTGAAGAAGTCAGCGGAAGAGTGGAGGACGTCCGATACATTGGGGGGGGGGGTACCTGGCTGCCGACTGTAGTGTTCATCAGGCGGTGAAGGATCAAATCAGCGAGGCATAGATAAAGTGGAAGAAGTTCAGTGGAATCCTCTGCGATTGAACGTACTCCATAAGGCTCAAAGGAAAGGTTTATCGGCCAGTGATAAGGACAACGATGCTGTGGCAGTCCTTAAACTAACCCCTTAAAGAGAATCACGCGAGGCAGTTTAACTTCGTCGAAATGGGTCGGAAGCGTGGATGTCAGAGTGGTTAAGCAGACTGCCCTGTCCAACTGAAGGTGCGCAGGGCAAAACGCGGTACGAACACGAGGTGGATGGTAGAAGACACGAAGTATCACGCGGACAAAAGAGCTGGACTCGAAGCGCTAGCAGGCAGCTTCGCGGAAGGGCTCCTAAAGTAGTAGCAACAAGACGTAAGCCAAGAGGACTGAAGTTCCGGACCCGGTAACGGTCAGAAGAGCCGAAAGAAAGAACACGTGGAGGAGAAGCAACACTGGACCCTCCGCAATGCCGCGGACTAGCTCTACAGCTTTCATATGACATATTTATTGGAGGGCATCGCTTTCAATAACTTCTTAGTCGTTTTGGAAGTACGCTTAAAGGAATCTTGCGCGGAAAAATCATGATTCTATTTCAGCCATAAATCACTGGCTTGAGACTCATTATCCACGATAATAGTGAAAAGAACTGAAGTATTGCTTTCGTTTTGATTAGAAATTCGAAAACTCGAAAAGGCTGCTACGCGTTCGAATTGCCCACGGACGTCTTTCACGAATGCTGGCGACGGGGATGCTCAAACTTGGTTCTTGGAGTGCATTCACTAGAAGCTCTTTCTGGCCTTCTGCTTCGTTGCATTCACATCTTACACTTCTACTCCATCCTATTCCATCGATCGATTTGTCTCCACTCTCCGAAATCGCGCGCTTTAACCCGATTCTCTCATTGCGTCGCCTGGTACGTAGCCGGCCAAACGCCGTCTTCTTTCCATGCCTCGCCTGGCTCTGCCTCCTGGTCCTTCGATGGTCCATAACGTGTAGTTTTTGTACGTTTGTTTCTCTTCAGAAACCGAATCTTCATGCGTGAAACTTTGTGTGCTATTTCCAGTGATCACAACTGACATATTCATGTTAGGAAAGAGTGCAAGAATTTTCCGCGCAAGATTCCTTTAAAAATTCCTGGCATTTCATTTTTCTGAAGCCAAACTGTATTTTCAGGGATCGTTCGTGGTACAACTGACGGATGGATTTTATGGGGCGGTTTTTGATCGCGTATCAAGAAGCCGCAAGTGTATCACATAATGAGGGAAACAAAGTACTCGTTTTTGCTTAACAGAAGAATATTTAAATATTTACTACACTAACAATGAAGTCTTACAAAGCACATAAGTTTTGCTATAAGACTGCCCTGATCTAGTAGCTTAGAGAAAATAGAGATTAACAGTGAACAACCCGATGTAGATCACTAGGAGCACAGTTACTCAAGGCTTATTGTACACAGCAAAAAATGCAATAGAAGTTGAACTGCACATTTGCAACTTCACAGAAGGGGTTTACAATTGGTGAACCTGAGAATCTATGGACTTAGAGAGGTCCTATAAACGGTCGCCACACTACTGTTAATTAGAAGAGTAGGAACCCGAAAATGAACAATTGACATTGAACAGTGACAATGCTGAGCCCGCCTTGTCGTTTGGCGTAATAATGCTGCCAAACGTATTGTAAAAAGAATTTAGATATGTATTCTGAAAAGAAGTGCTAGGTTTCTAGCTTCAAGAGATGGCTGCTACCATTCAGTCAGTTGTGGTTGTAGAACGAACTGTAGAGGTCGACGTTGGCTTGTAACAGAGCAGCACCAGGCGCAATAGAGACGTGGATAGCGGAAAGTCGTAGAGATGTGCTGAATGTATTTCCCTCACACATTCTGAGCATCTTTTCAAAATTGTCTAGAATTTGATTGAAAATTCACTTCCACTACTTGGTGGTTATCACCACTTGATAATTTTGAATCAAACTGTCGCTGAGCGCGAGGACTCTACCCTATGCGTAGTGGTCTTTCGTTTACGCAAGTAATTGCGAGGGCCAAGGGTGGGGCAAAATTATTGGTGCACCAATATTTGTTGGCATTTCGAGACTAGCTTTCAGAAATCGATTCTAATCACGAATATTATTTGTAGAAAAGATGACAATTCAAAACATATTAACAGTTCTCAAAATGATCGCCTCTAGCCTTTACACAGTTCTCTGAACATTTGGCATACGCATGGCATGTGGCACGCAGGTATTTTTCATCAATTTTGTCCCAGGATTCCAAAAGCGCCGTCATGAGAGGGTTCAAATTTCGGTAATTGATAGGAGCAGACTTTTCCCTTTAGGGTAGCCCATACTTGGAAATATATCGGTCTTTCCCGAGAATTGGAGAGCCATTCGTCATAACTGATGAAGTTGAGGGTTTGCTCGGTGCACTGTTCCTGGACCATTCTCGGTCAGTGTCCTGAAGCAAACCCTTTGGTGAATTCACCCGTAATCCTCTCCAAAGTGAAGACACGCCCATGGTTTTGAACAAATACCGAGTTTGAACGCTGTTTGAACAAAATTTGAGAATTTGAAAAATCGTCGAGAACGCTTTCGCGTAGCGCTCTGTTGTGGCCAAGGGGCGGCGGTCAACAGAATCGTCCGGGAGTGACGCCGTCGCGCGCGATCACTTGCGCGGCGTCGTAACGCGGCAGTTTTTCGATGGGCGCGGCCTTATTCGAATTTGACGATTGGAGCAATGATTCTTCATGGTCTACTTCATTCACATGATTCCCAAGATTATTTTCGTAGAAGCGCACCTTTTGTACTTAATTAGGTCTGGTTTACACCTAATTAAGGTCGCCGACCTTTACTTAGGTGCGAACCAAACCTAGTTAAGTATTAAAATGAATAGTCGTAATGCTTAATGTATTATAATTTTGAGTTATTTATTAACTGCCGTGCTATATAGTGGTATTAGACACTATTCAAATCGGATTTCATGATGAGATTGTTAGCAAAAGGCGGGACGAGTCGGCTTGGCGTCCCTTAACATTCACAATAGAATGACGCTTACAGAAACTCGTCCACCGCCACCGCGCCGTCGCGGCCACGACCACTAGCGCGGGTCTCCGGACGATTCTGTTGACACACACCCGTGGCCAAGTATGGGCTACCCCAGAGGGAAAAGTTGAAGGTTGATTGATGCACTTCGCAAAGTGGAAGCCTAACCACTTTGTGATCAGGGCGTATTAGTAGCAGCGTGTTCAAGCTACATACCATGAAAGAAATCAGATGAGAAAGTCTACAACAAGATTCAAAAAAATCCATTATATGAAGGTGCACCAGTAAATTTGCCCCATCCTGTATTTCACGATGGAAGGTCCTTTGAAACGGTTTCAAATTCACTCACTCTATATAGGAAGCTGTCAAAGGGATTCCAGCATTCAAGACGCCATTTATCATATTCTCAAGAGCTTTCTTCGTTGACTTCCGCAAGCCGTCCAGATGTTGAACAGTCAGGCCGAAGAATTCAACGCCAGGGTTGAAAGTGAGCTTCGTTATGGCGATACTTCCTAAATGACCACATTTCTCACCTTTTTATAAGACTTTGCCTCTTACGCCGTTTGATTTTAATTGAGTTATTGGAACAAGTCGAAGATAAGGTTCCAGTAGAGATTTCGAGGAAATACTCGAAGAATAGCCGATAATAATAAGCCCAAATAATATGGACCAGTAAACAGCTGCGGGAAGCCTTACCTCTCAATTGGGATCCAACGGTTTGTAGTCGAATGATTGCTTCAATAGAGAAAGGAATCACGCCGACTTTCTGTCGCGTACCTTCCAAGAAAAAGAGGCATCGCCCTTGTAGAGACACTATCACCTCATCTAAACTTTGAAGTGAAGGAAAAGTGATCACTTCGATAATCACTATCAGTATTGGAAACAACTGAGCACTGTTGAACAATGAGCTGTGAGGATCTTTGAGCAATTTGCAGTCTAACAAACCTTGGCGCAAAGTAACCAGTGGAGGTTGTGTGGTTCTTATTATTATCTCCAAAGTTCTCCCTGGATATTTGGTCGCTATCTAAAGCACTGCATTAATTTCAGATCACATATCAGACGGGACTACATAATGTGCAGTAACAATTCACCCACCTCTTCCACTTGATCTGATAGACATACTTCATCAAGGCTGCAGGTGGGGGGTTTATGCAGCGTGGTCCGACACGGGAGTATGAAGAGTCAACGTGATAATAGAACGCGAATTTGTCTAAACAGAAGTCCTTGTGACGTGAGTGGAGAGGACCTTTCGTGATTACATTTACGTCGACTTTAACCCATTCGCGACCGCGCAGGATTGCGCAATAGCAGCAGCGTCAGGAGATTTTTCTTCAATAAAATTCGAGTGGAGGGAGATTTCCTCTGCCCAGGGCTGGCGTAGATGAGCGAGGGTATGGAAGAAAACTTTCCAAATTCCATTTCAAGCCCTGCAGCCACAGTAATGCCATTGTCCCGAGTGAGAGCTTTGTCAGCCACCGGTGGCTGACATTGTCACGAATGGGTTAATGATGCCCCAATAACGTGAACTTAAAGGCACGGGTTAAAGTCGACTTAGTGTGCTATATTATGCTCATCAGGCGAAATGTGCAATGAGAAACGTTAGTGAGAAGAGAAAGGAAAAAGCACCATTAACACTGGGATTCCTTCTTGAGTTGGCCGTGGTATGACGGAAGACACAGCGCTGCGAGGAGAGGGAAAACGCGAGAGAGCACGTTGTACGCGAGAGGGCGCAGATGCTTCGTATGCAGTGATTGATAAGGATGGCAGAAAGGCGGACAAGAGGGCTTCACAGTACTCCACAAGTTTTATGGTTGGGAACCATTATCAATCGGCCGCTAGCAGCTTACCAACGGGGTTAACTTTGTGTTTTTGAAGGGTAGGCATATTTTGATTCATGTGTGTTGGTGATGGTATCATGGGAGGGAGGGAAGAGGGTTGCTTTTACACATTGTTTTTTGTGAAAACTTGAATATGATCGGCGAAATGACAAAATCATAACATTTGCCTTCTCATTCGACATTTACGCCCCCCCCCCCCCACCTCCTCCACCACCACCATCATGACGCTCTTTCGGAAGGGAAAAGCGGGCGGAGTTGGAATCAGGCCCGGTCCTACCGTTACGACTTTTCGGAAATTTTTCACGACCCTCCCCCTTCCAATCAAAAATTCACGACCCCCCTCGCCATCATGGTCGCTGTTTCTATAGTATTTAATTCTGAGACCAGTCGACACACCTAACTCCACCCACTTTTCCCTCCAAAACTGCCGTCGAGCGGGGGGGTATCTACAGTGAAACAGCAAAATTTTTCCTGCTCCTTCACACTACGCGCCCTAAACTCCCTAAACTCATCGATGAATTCTAAGATTACATAGAATATGACCCCCCCCCCACCTAAAAACTCAACAAAATACGATCCCCTCACCCCCGTTAGTACTTGTCGCAACATAGGATTGACCCTGGTTGGAATGTGTCTACTCTTCTCAGAATCAAGCACCAACGAAATACTATAGAAACAGCCAAACAGAACAGCTCGAACAGCTTTGGGTGAGCGTGGCGGTGCGCGGTGATGGGAGCGGGTCGTACTGGTTGGGGGAGATTCCAGGGCTGATGGTGATGTAGGCGGTCGTATCAAGGTCTCTTTAAGAGAGGATGTGATTTCTGCGATTTTTCTTTGAGTCGCAGTTGACCCTGGGTCCGACTGCCCTTCCTCTCTTGGTATGTTTCTCCAAACACTGCCAAATGAGAAAAGATGAGATGTACCTGTGGGCCTGATAGAGCATGCTGTTAACGGTATACTCAGATATGGCGATTTCGGCCATCCGACGCTGGGTATTGTGGGGCATTCGGAAGGGAAACGGCACGTGATAAGGAGACGCCTCATCTAAAAAAAGTCTATAAAATTGCTACATACATAAGCTAGACAGACATGTATGTAGAGCGAAAAAGTAGCTCACTTGTCTTCGTGCTTGTGACCTCCCCTGACATTCCGACGGTAAAATCGTGACGACTGGCGCTTGCGTCCAGTAGGGTCAAATCAATCATTATATGTCGCAAACGGTCCTGGCAAAAGCGCAATCACATAATCAAAAAATGCAAAATTTTAAGATAAAAGCCATACCACATTGAAAGGAGCGCGCGATATCTTGAGGAGTGATGGAAACTGGCCGACTACCTGAATTATGTCATATGAGTTTGATTTTGAGAACTTGAAGAAACGGAAGAGCAAGCTGCAGGCAAAATTTCTATGCGAAAGCGGTTCGCAAGGTGAGTGAACACTTGATTATCCAACAAATAGATAGCTTAGTAATCGTTTTTCAATGATTAGATTTCAACTGGTGATCCATTTCCTTACTTACGTTTACCGAAGTGAGCCTATTTCATAATTGTTAAAAATCTCCGCCTGAAATGCACCCGCAATAACGGCAGATGAACGAGCTTCGTTTGAATTCTCTCCGCTATTATACAGATGCGTTGTCTAATCATGGAGCAGTTTTTCTTTCTAAATAATATAATTATTTTTGCTTTTTGCACCGATTCGTAATATAAGAATCACCCTGCAAAAATGCATCCAAATTAGACTGCAAGTAGGGGACGAATTCACGCTGGAAAGGCAACCCATTTCAAATTAACTTAGCGATGGTGAGTGGTACACTAAAGAAGGAAAAACCATGCGAAACGGCCCAGAACCCGAGAAATGGGACCACTTCCTTGCCCGTTGATTTGAGCATTGATGCGACTATCATCGCTGTGCCCTCTTCAACACTACTACGCTCTCTCACCTATCTAATCACTCGCCACGTATAGACCTGCGGCGAGTGATCAGATGATCGGTGGGCGTGCACTGGCCCACCGCGCCAAGATTGAGCCTTAATAGGTCGCGAGGTCAACTCCTTCGGTGCTAATTGCGCTTAGAGAGAAACAAATCAAAACATTGAACAAAGTTGCGAGCCTGCGCCACAAATCGCCACCACACAGCAGGATATTTTCAGCAAGGTTGCGTATTTTCAGACTAAGGCGCTCTTAAGCCAAAGGTCTTGTGGGACATAATATACTTGCCGTGGCTAGCGATTTGAGGGTACCTGCCAGCCTCATTAGCTATGAGATAGAGCGGAGATTCTCCAAAACTTGCTTTGAAAAGACTGAATTATGAAGAAGATGAAAGCAAAAAATAATCAAATAATTACAAAAAAAGTTAGAAGAAAAGCTGTTTCCGCTAAAATTGCGATACGGAGATTATATAACAAATAGTAAGGAGTTGGCTGGTGATACTTGAAATATTCCCGGTCTGCTGCTTTTCCGGAAATGCAAAAGTTTGGGGTGACTTTATAATTATGAAACGCACTGCATATTCAGAAAAGTCTGACCAATAATTTGAAATTCCTGAAACAACCCTTCCGATCAAGAAAATGACGAAAAAGTTTCGAATGAGAAACAAAATGTTAAATTCAGTTATCCATCAAACACAATAATTTCTTGATGATACATGAATGAACTCCTCCTCCTCAAATTTTGATGTCCATATTACCCTAGTTACAGAGAGACATTCGCGCAGCAACGATAGCCGTCTCATCGTGAATTCGTCCTTGAATGATTTTCATGCAGAACATGGTTTTTCGGGAGGCAGCTGTAAACGGCTTTCAGCGCGCTCAACTGAGAAAAGCTGGATTGAAGCTTTCTAAGCTTGAGCGGTGGGCTTCACCTTCACCGAAACCTCCAAATCGGGCGCGGCTGAAGCTGTAAAGATCACTACTTTACACGGATCACACAGCATATGTTAATGTCACAAAAAACTTGTTGCCTTTCCTGTATAGAATAGAAAAGTTGCCGCAGCAGTTCAATACAGGGTGGCTACTAAATATTGGCGCATGGTTAATTGACCATATTTCCAAAAAGAGAATCTATTAAATCTTCAGAGGTTTATCTTTATATACAGTAGAACATAACAATTCATTACTAGAGAAGATGCTCGGAAAGAAGTCCTCCGGCGGCGATACAGGCTTCAAGTCTCTTCTCAACTGACATCACCGTGGGCCGCAAGCAGTTTTCGTCGAGTTACTTCAACGCTTCCTCCTAGGAAGCCTTCAGGAAGTCCAAACTTCGATGTTGCCTAGAAGGCATCTTCTGCTGCAGGAAGCCCCACACCGCAAAATCCATTGGGTACAATCGGGTGAGTTAGATGGCCAAACATCTGGTGACCAGTAACCTGGAAAATGGCGGTCACAGAACACCAGCGTAGATTTTGCGGCATGGGGAGGCGCCTAGTCTTGCTGAAGAAGGCACTGACATTTGCTGGAGGTCGAAACAGTCCATGGAACGAGCACATCACGTAAAATTGTTTCCTGGTAGATCTGGGCGTTAATTTTGACGGATTTGTCCACAAAGACAAACGGTGTCTCGGGTGTCGGAAGTAATTCCTGCCTAAATCATGACAGAGAAGGGATTGTGGAAGATCGGTCCGGTGTATTACCCTTGTGTGCGCACGACGTCGAGCAGGATGCCTGCTAGCCGGATCCAACAATTGCCTGTCCTTTTGAGAATTGTGCGCCAATTCCAGTGTGATGATCTTCTCGCGTCACGTTGACGTCACTTACTTGCGGCCCACGGTGATGTCAGTTGAGAAGAGACTTGAAGCCTGTATCACTGCCGAGGGAGGCCATTTCGAGCACCTTCTTCAGTGATGCATGGATATACTGTATATAAAAATAAACTTCTGAATATGTAATAGTTCTCTTTGCAAAAATATGGTCAATAAACCATGCGCCAATATTAGCAAAGCACCCTGGTATAGAGGATTAATGTTGAGGTGTGGCCAAAGAGACACTTCACTTCACATAAAAAGGGTATTAATCACGTTCGGCTAAATTCAAACCAAGCGCTTCCAACTGAAAATTGATGAGCACAGGTACCAGTTTCTATCAAAAATACGCACGGTAACCTTCTACCTCAACGGCAATCAAGAGAAGTTGATATGGGAAACACTGCTGCACTATTTACGGATAGTTACACGCATACTGCTATAGAAAACTAACACATCACTTGGCCATTCAAGAAATTTTGTGGTGCCTTCCGCTGTAGCAACAAGGGAAGAACCTTTTCTTCCGTTTTGGAGTTATGTTTAGACGGCGATTGCCAGAATGGACGTCATATCTTGAGAAGATGAGGCAGCATAGGAGCTTCGAAGAAGCAATGGCAGGGGACATTCAAGAAGTATTTTGAAGAATTCCATCGACGGCAACCTGTACTAGTTCCAAGAAGTTTTTTTTGTTCACCCCTGTAGAAACTAATGGGCTTGTTAGGTAGAAAAAGCCAACACTTCGCATGAGGGCTTGATCCATTAATTACAGCAGTCAAAAAGGGCAGCAGCGCGGGGTGGTGCGCACTGGTGTGTACACCTAACAGCAGCAAACGCTGCGTCGAGTTTCTCCGTAAGCATTCATGGAATATGGGCGCCGACTGTATTCGCAACGCATTAAAGGAATCTTGCGCGGAAAAATCATGATTCTATTTCAGCCATAAATCACTGGCTTGAGACTCATTATCCACGATAATAGTGAAAAGAACTGAAGTATTGCTTTCGTTTTGATTAGAAATTCGAAAACTCGAAAAGGCTGCTACGCGTTCGAATTGCCCACGGACGTCTTTCACGAATGCTGGCGACGGGGATGCTCAAACTTGGTTCTTGGAGTGCATTCACTAGAAGCTCTTTCTGGCCTTCTGCTTCGTTGCATTCACATCTTACACTTCTACTCCATCCTATTCCATCGATCGATTTGTCTCCACTCTCCGAAATCGCGCGCTTTAACCCGATTCTCTCATTGCGTCGCCTGGTACGTAGCCGGCCAAACGCCGTCTTCTTTCCATGCCTCGCCTGGCTCTGCCTCCTGGTCCTTCGATGGTCCATAACGTGTAGTTTTTGTACGTTTGTTTCTCTCAGAAACCGAATCTTCATGCGTGAAACTTTGTGTGCTATTTCCAGTGATCACAACTGACATATTCATGTTAGGAAAGAGTGCAAGAATTTTCCGCGCAAGATTCCTTTAAAGGCGCGTACGAAGCATTGTATATCGCTGGCCAGAAACTTCGGAATTATCCTGCTAGGATTTAAC